AACACAATCTTACACCTAGGAGCTGTAACTTCCTTCACTAAGCAAGGTCTAGTTATTTGCCTGAGAATAATTAAATCAGTACATCTTCAAGGCTCTTTTACTACTTCATCATCTAGTTTCTAATGCAGATACTGACAGAATGGAAAAACCATAAGATGTTGATGAAAGACTTATTACCCAAAGAGTATTTCCCTGCAGTGACTGAAAAACCACTAACTGATGACACTATTTTAAAAGGTGCCAACAGTAGCTGATGGAGAGGCTAATACATTTATAGCACAAATGAGTAAACTGTAAGAGGATAAACAAACAAGAAGCTGCAAAATGTATCATTCAAGTGCATTGTTCAGACTGGTGCAAAATAATAAATTTTAAATTTTCACCTAATAATAAACATTTATCCTGTAGCTGTCAGAAAAAACACCTAAACAGAGAGAATAATCATGGTTGCCAGTATTAAGACAAAAAGTGTGTGTGGTAATACATGTTTTGTTTCCTGCCAAGGCTTGCCAGAGCAACTATTCTGCTATGAAAGAAGCAGGACAAGTGGAACAGCCTGTCAGCAGTATTCTGCACTACTCTGGCTTAGAAGAACAGTATAATAACACAGTCCATTTCCAACAGTAAAGGAGGAGCATCAGATGTGAACTTCGGAAGGCCCTCTCTCACAATATGACACCAAATCTTGGCTTTAGGCAGGCATATTTTCCCAGACATACACACACAACTCTACTACAAATGCTACCTAAACATCCATTTTTTGTCTCATATTAAAAAGGCAGTGACCTAGATGGACATTCTGTAGATATATCTGATATTTTTAAGGCCTGTGAAGTCACACCATAATAGATGTCTGCACTGTTTCTCTATATCCTTCCAGTATTTGTTTAGGTATGACATCTGATTCAGCTGCATAGAACAAGCAATACCCTGTCAGAACCGTTTCTTTTGGAGTGGGGTAACAATGTCTGCAGAACTGTTTCTCTAGAAACACTTCCTACACTTTCCCTAGGTGATCAGCCATATTTCACCAGCCACTGCAGTAAGGTCATAGTGCTCCCAGACGTCAGTCTATCCACCTCCACCTTATCCAGTGGGTAGTGCTAGTATTCACCTTTACTACTATACACTTTATAGTACCCCATATGCTCCCTGTTGAAACCAGCTTCAGGATCAGTATTGAGAAAAAAAAACAAACAGAAAAAAATTTACCATAAACCAGAGTCCTAAGTGTAACCAGAAGAGTACCACAAACACGAGTGATACTTTAAATACTTTAAATTCATGTGTGATTACCTTATTTTTGTGTTATTTAATTATAATATAAAGGATAAACAATTGATTTTTAACATTCAGAAGCCATTAAAACAGCTCTGCCCTAGATATGATCCCCATTCATTAGCTAAGATGAATAAAAGAAATGTTGTCCCTTCTTTTCCGAAACACAAACAAGGTATTCATCAAAGTCATTATGTTGACACTGAAATCACAAATCCATAGCATAAGACCTGATCCTGCCGTCAAAATTGTATAAGTGGAAGTTTGACTTCTGGACATTCCTATTAGTGGAAAGATTTTAGTTATAGCTGAACTAAATATTTGGAAAAATAATGAAACGAATGCAGAGTTGACCTCAGATTAGCAGCATCTATAAGTGGATTTGAGTGCACAGAGATAACAGCTCCAAAAATTTTGATTTCCTTATGAAGTGGAAAGAAAGAGTTTGAACTTTCTCTGCTAAGTTTGTCTGTGCACCGAGGTCTTCTATAATATAAATTTAAATACACAATCTGTTTTATAATGTTTTCCATCATCTCTCTTCTCCATATGTTCTCCCACTAGGAATCTAATGAGTTCTACATTTGAGGGATGACAAGGGAATATGTCTGAGAAATAATTCCAGCAATTACAGCATATGGAGGCATTGTTTTTGAGTCACTTTTGCCATGAACATTAGACAGAGCATCTGGGATCAAATTCTGTCTACCTGCCTATGGACATTAGCAAAATCATCATCTCCCATTTGTAAATTCTGCTGAGGTAATCTACCATACAGAGAGGACCATTTCATCAACTTTATGATCAGAGAGCATATTGAAACACAGTCCATTTATAGTTAGGAAAAAAATGCTTCTCTTTAGAAAGAATAGTGTAAACTGGAAACTGTTTCAAGTTAAAATCATAGGAACATATCATCTCCCTCTCTTCTCTCCAAAAACTGCTAACTCCTGTGTTCAGCTCCAAACCACAATGTATTAAAAATCTTTTCTCATCACTACTAAAGTTTTGTAAGAACTTTCTGGATCCCAGGAAAAGAGAAAATGACCAAAGAAAAATAAAAAGAACAAAAACAAAGAGACTTAAACTCTAAATCAGGAATAGGAAGGGTTATATTCTCCACACCCAAATTGGACAAGGCATCCATAATTAATCATAAAGAGAGAAACAAACTAAAAAAACTCCTTTATGTGGGGATATAGTGACTATAAATAGTGTATATTTGGTAAATTCTGGATATCAGATTTAAACACTAAGACATAGGGCTGGAGAATTCAAGCACAGTTTCTGTCACGTTTGTTATGACAGTAAGGAGAAGAGACATCAAGAGGTTCAACCCATATGCTAATACGGGATAAATTTTCAACTCCATGCATTCCTCATAATCAAGAAAAATTTCTCAGCAATGTGAGTAACATAAGTATTTTTATAGGGGTTTTTTTTTTCCCAACTGTGCAGTTGAAGCAGTGAAAGCAAAGCCATAAATCCCATACCACAGTGTCCTTAGGTTACTTCAGTGTTTTAGGAGGGGAAACAAGAATGTCCCTGCTATTATAGATGATCTAAATGGAATTTTACAGATATGAATGTAAACAAAATTTAAAGAGCTAATATAGAACTTTTACAATTAGGGTTACATATAAGCAATAATATTTCTATTACACAAACTATGTATTTCATTCAGTTGTTTAATAAACTGGTTTTCAGAACTGAAAGCCAGATATATTTCAAGTCTTTCAATCCTTTTTGATAAAAATATAATATTGATGGAATTAGTGATATTTATTCAAGAGAATCTATTACCAAGGAATAACTGGATATCACTTTCCATTGCCACACTGAATTACCTGTATACCTGCAAGGGGCGAGTGAAAATAGAGCTCAGCTTCAGGATGCTGACTGTACCCCAGTGCTCACATGCTGGATTCCATTCCCTAGGATCTGCATCTCTGGCTGTGAAACCACACTGCAATGGCTTTGGCTAGTCTGGCATCCCACTCACAGCACTCTGAGAAAGAACTGTCATTCTTTTATACAAGAGTTTCCCATGTCACCATTAGTGGCCCTTCTGCCAGATGGTCTTAAGTTATTTTCGGATTAAGAGACACTGGCAACACTTGTAATCCTGCAAATGTGTCAAAAAAAGTGGTGGGAAATTCAGTCTATTCATATACTACCTCTTCTAATCACCACATAAGCAGTACAGATGAATATAGAAGATACAAAAACAACCACTAAAATATGTGCAATGACTCTCTGTAAAGTGGTATCAGAAAGTTACATAACTTCTTCCAGAAACAAGATCAAAAATGTAATCTGGAAATATTTTCTTATTCTATGAAATAAACAGAAAAGTTTATTAGGTTACAAACTGCACTATAAGGACAACACAAAGTGATTAGGTAATTCTTATTATTCAATACCATTAAATCCTTGAAAAATCATTTAATGCCATGTGATTGTTCAGGTGGGATATTTTTTGATAGAGATATCTGACTATTGACAAAAAGAAACTAGAGATTAAAGCAATACTTCTTGTACAAACCAAAACTTTTTCCAGTATTTTTGCCAATATCTTGGTTAACCACAGATGTGTAAAATTCAAGGCATGTAGGAGGAGGCAGTAAATCAACAGATAAAGATGCCAATCACATATTTCTGTTTTGTTTTTACAGAGTTTCATGCATTACCTGGAAAGTGTAAAAGCCAGCTGTACAATTACAATGAGCAAAAATTCCCTGCAGATATTTTTATGAAACATAACAAAATTCTATATGGCAGATTTTTAGTTTCAAAACAAATGTATCTGATGCACTCTGTCAAAACAACTGCACTGGTTTGGTGAAATACTGAAACACTACACCAGTAACATTCTTGAGCAGAGTTGAAGGAGCCAAGATTTAAAAGATATTGGAAAAATAGGAAAATTTAAAGGATATAGCACAATAGGTGAATTTGTAGGTAGTAACAGTGTAGCAGTGTTGTTTTAAAGGTTAGCATTCACTTATGACCAATAAACTACATACCACCAAGATCTAGACTTGAATGTTTTTTAAGCTCTATTTTAGATGTATTAGAACTGAATTGAAATTATTTTTCATTAAAATTCATATCAGGATTTCCTTTATGTTTTGTTGAACTGATCCAAGACATTTAATTTTGAAAGGTATGAGAAAACAGTGATTTTTCTTTCCCTCTCAATGCACTTCCACTTAGAACTGCAGAAAAGGAATACATATTCTGCAGTTCAGAGTTCCTGATGATTACTGAATTCAAAGGGTAACATGGATTTCCCTCTGCTCATAATGACTGATCATTTTCGTAACCAGATGAAATAATCTAGGAAGTAATATATATGGAACAAATGAGTAATTGAAGCAAGATTCATTCTCACACACTTGCAATATGAATGCCCGTAGCTGATCTAGTCACCTACACTCAGTTTTCAAAGGCAGGACTAAACCAGCACTGTTGATAGCTGAACTGTGGTTCCCAGCTTGCTTCCCTTTCAAAAGGACCTTTTAATATAATAGGAGATATTCCCAGCTCTACTAAAGAAATATAACACTTTAGATTCTTATTCATGAAAAGAATATTTTTTTCCATGGATAAACAGATCTCCAAAGGGCCCATCCATATAGGGAACTCTATTTTATATTACAATTTTATTCACTTACTATGAATAGTCATGACATTAACTACGGCAGATAATCTATTCAATATATTTGAAAATCCATTTATTTTTATTTATTGATATGCATTTGTTACACTTGTATATAATACAGTACTTTCAGCGTTGGTTTAAGAACAAGGAAACAAAGAAAACATATATTTAGAAGCATGATATAGATTTTTGGCCAAAGAGAGGCCATATTCAAAGTCTACAAAACAGCACATTTATATTTTGCACTGTCCCAGACAATCTCTTAAAGATGCTACCTTCTGTCCAGAACTTGTTAGCACAAATCCATACAATACTAACCCATTCTAAAATACTGATATACCTAGCTGCTGCTACAGTTTATTCTAATTAAATTTTAATCAGAAAATAAGATTTTTTCCTGCTAACAATTTTTTATTACTTCTCAGCAGAATGATAGAATATACTTCTCAATTTTATTCCCAACAGTCATTTATTTTATTTAAGCTCTCCTGTGCAGTAATACAGCAGAGGTAATGAAATGGTTTTGGAACAGCAGGGGCTACTGTGACAGGCGGAGCACTCCAGGGTTTTCATGTATCATGGAACCTAATATATAACTAAACTAGCCATGTCAATGGCTTATAATGATAAAATATTTTCCCGCTTCTGTTTTGTGTTGTTGTTCGATTGTTTGTTTGTTTTTGCAAGTCTGGTAACCACACATAAGCTTACCCCTATGTATTTTTTACTACCACTGTGTGTGTGGCTTTCATTTTAATTCACCAAAGCATAAAGTCAAAATTCCCTTACCCTCTCTGGTCAGCTTGTTTATGCAGAGTTCCTAAAAGGAACTGCCAAGTTTCTGTTATATCAACAGTACAGATGGTACAATATATATTAAATGGAGTATAAAATTATACATTCTGTAATAACTTAGGAAAAAGCTCAGAGATGCTTAAGGCCTTTAAATATTGAGGATTTTTTTCATGTAACAGCACATTACAAAGTTCAAAAATTGCTACAAAAAAAAAAAAAAAAAGTAAAGAAATTTTGGAAAAGATCAGATCTGAATTGGATGACTGTAAGCAAGCAAAATACTCATGAAGTGTAAATCTGGGAGGGTACTAAGACCTTTTTTCATTTATAGCAAACAGACTGAACAGACATCTACATAAGCAACCATCAGTACTTAGGTTCAAGCAAGAGATTTTATTTTTTAATAAAAAGCCAAAATTTCTGAATGATTACCATCCAATTTCATAATTGTAAAACTCATTTACATCCCTGCCTACCTTTACAAAAAAGAGATGAAATACTGTCATTGACTGATTACCATGAACTTAAATGAATTAAAGGTTAGGAAAGTAAAGTACATATCAGGAACACCCATCTCCTTCAAATTAAATGCAAATGTTTATCTTTTAGGTATAAAATGCTTTATAATGGAGGTGGTAATTGAGTTTTGACCACTACTTTTTTTAACTGTTAAGCTGCAGTTGTTGGTTAGCCTTAGGGAAACATGTCAACCTGACTATGCAATCTAATATGACTGGTATATTCAGATAACTATTACTTGTCAACAATAATTATTAACAATGGATATATAATTCCATTCCTATAACAAAAGCAACTTCAAGATGTTGAAATATGTACCTTTCAGAGCTGCAAGATTAGAACACAAATAAAAATGTCTAAAACTGCCATGCCAGAGGACCATTTCTGCAATAGAAATTTAATTAAAGCAGTGTGCAGTCCCACCAGCAATCTGAAAATGGACCAGGGATCATTTTAGAGGGAAGAATCCAATACATTTTGGAGGTTGACTTCATAAAGATGAAAAGCCACTGGTCTGCAACGGAGAACCCAACAGTTTGCTGCTTTTCTGCACCTTTAAAGTATCAGCGTGTGATTACAGCTGCAAATTCCTTAGCAAGTACAATTTTACAAGTGTACACAGTTCAATCAGATGAAATCTTTGTGACACGGAAGTTCAAAAAGACTTTCCAGTAGTTTTGATCTCAAGGCTGCTGATGATTACAAACCAGGTTCTCATTGAAACAATTGATTCTGAAGGATACACCCCAGTAGTATAAAATTTCACTTCAAGGATTGCCTGGAGGAATGACATTCCCACGTGTTGTATTTAATGTTATCAGCCTTGAGACTGACTTGATTTGTCTTTAGCTATCGGGTTACCTGTAAAGAAAAAGGAAATCAGAAAATCAAAACTGGACATAGTGAATCTACTTCTGAAGTACTGGAAATTGAGACTGAAATGAGAGATCTCTGTCCAGCAAAGAGTTTTCAATTGTTTTTGAAATAGGTGAATAATCCCACATGGTATTAGATGGCATTGCTCCCCAAACTAAATTGTGTGTTTAAGTGTTTTGTCAGAATTGGATCTGACAAAGAGAAATCAAAATGTGACCATGCCTAAAAATACAATAAAAGAATTTGAAGTTCACAAATTACCAACCCACAAATGTTTGTTTTCTGTTATTCTCTTTTTTATTGTTCATAAAAGCATAATAGTAACTATTATGCTTTTAAAAATGTTAGCCATTGCATATAACAGTGGCTGATACTGGAGATGCATTCTCCCATTCTTTGCATTCTTCTTTACAGCACAATCATAGAATCATTTAGGTTCTAAAAGGCAATGTCCTGTTAAAGGCTCAATGCACCTCAGCAAATAATAATTACTTAGTGGAGAAACAGGACAAAAATCAGTCATACATTAACAAGAGAGATAGAGATCCTGTTATTCACAAGGTACAAAATTACCAAGGATTTAATTTATAGTGGTTTCACCCAGCCTAACATGAAACAAGAGTGAAACAGAAGGACCACAGAGAAAGAGTGGGAGACAAAGCATTTCACAGTAATTGGATTTTTCCTCTGTCTGATTTGGATTTTAAGCATTAAAAGAAAAAAAACGTGTCATATCAAACAAATGTAACTTTGAGGAATATTTCTGCTGTGTCAGTGGATAAAATTAATCACCATGTAACATTTTAATATCAAATTGTGTCAGGTGTCAACTTCCCAGCTCTTGAAGAGCAACTCATTGGAATGGTCACAACAACACTTTATGACATTGAGGGGCATGCGCTTCTCATTTTGATCACAGAGAGAAGGGTCATGATCCTTAATGATGAAACATTCCTTTGCCCTCAGCAAAACTGTTTGCATACAGCTCTTGTCAGCTCTACAGAGCATAAATTTAGAACAGAATACTAAAAAGACTGTTCGAGTAGTTCATTGCTTCAGTTTGCTTTCTCCATCAAGTTGTTTCTAGGAATTGCACTTAAGGCAATAATAAAATTGTGCTTTGTGATTTTTATGATACATTCATTACACTGCTCTTATTTTGCTTTATTCTTGTTGTAGGAAACAGCCCCATGTGTCCCCTTTTACAGTGGAAGATTCGATAAAAAATAATAAAGAATTAATTTAAAAGTCAGGCAAAATATTTCAGTGCCCTGCAACAAAGCTCAAAAGGCTGATGAAGCATCTTATTGTTATTTATGTTTTGCTTTATTGTAACAAACTGGAATTTTACTTATGGAACCAGGTGCCAATGAGCTACATAATGTAAAATACACATCTTCTGATCTTATCCACAGGTGGATTTTATTAGCTTCACTTGCCATACATGTACATCTCTATGTCTATCTATATGTGTATCTATCTATCTATCTACCTATCTATCTATGTATCAAGTAAAGAGCCACTAAGGCAAATAAGGGACAGGAGCTTCTTTGTATGAGGAAAGGCTGAGAACACTGCCACTGTTCAACCTGGAGAAGAGGAGGCTCAGGGCTCAAATACAAGAAGGAAGGGTGCTAAGAAATTGGAACCACACCATTTTCAAGTGGTGCCTGATGATGCCACACCGTTTTCAAGTGGTGCACTTCTGCCTGATGGCAGAAGTAGCAATCAGAACAAACCAAAACACAGGAGGTTCACTCTCAGGAAAAACTTTTTTACTGTGAGCATGATTGAGCCCTAGCACAGGTTGCCCAGGGAGGTTCTCCATCCTTGAAGATATTCAAAAGCTGTCTGGTCCTGGGCAACTGGCTTGAGGTGGCTCTGCTTGAGCAAGGGGGTTGGATTTCCAGAGTTCCCTTCCAAACTCATCTATCCTGTGATGTATTATTCCTATTACATCCAGCTCTGCCAATGCTTTGGCTAAGGTGATAAACTGCAGCTAGCAAAAAGAGTATTTTTACACATACATGACTGCTCAGATACACAGCTGCTTGGAAGTGCAAATGTGTTCTCTTCAGTCACAAAGAAACTCAGTAAAATCATAATCTCCAGGCCTATTTGCTCCCCCATCTAGCTCTACAACTCTGTGGTGAAAATATTGCTACAAAAGCAACATACACTGTCACATAGATTAAATAGGTGATATAAAGAAGAAAAAAATCAGTCAGCCATTCAAATCTCTGCATTATAATAAGTGACTAATCATATACCNTTTTTTTTTTTTTTTTTTTTTTTTTTTTTTTTTTTTTTAGTTCTGTTAACCACCAGGTCACACAACACTACTCTGAGTAACACATATAGTGGTCCACATTTGCCTCTAAGTGAGATGATAATACTTGTTATGTGTAAGCACAGATTACACATTAACATTAATGGAAATTATATATCCATACACCATACACATTTGGGAGTGAATAAACCTCTTGGTTGATAAGGGCAGTTTCATAAAGAAGTAATAAAATTTTAGCTAATACTTAGTGATGGTATTCCCAGAAATGCTTAATTTTGGATATAGTAAAAGCTATTTGGTTTAAGTGTCTGGGAAGTAAGGTAGTAAGGTATTGTGCCAAAGGCCTTTGTAGAAAAGGAGGACTAACAACAGTATGTGTCTTATCTTTAAAATTCTAAGAAAACAGTAACACCCTGAATAGAAGCAAATCAAGTCTAATCAAGTTTTCAGTTAATAATTATTATATATGGAGAATTAACAATACAAATAAAAAAAGTAAATGAAACCTTTAGCATCCTAGGTGCTGATCTGAATTAATTTGTTCATTTTTGGAACATAATTACTCCCTTTATACTAATAAAATTTTTCACATAGTTGTTATATAATAAATACACTGCATAAGACTCTCTTCACTTTCCTATCCTAAATGTGTAATTAGGGTATAATTACTCTGCAGTTGCAGACTTTTTAATTTAAATTAGTGAGTGGCTGCTGTAAATTGGCTGTAACTGTATGTGAACTCATTTTTTTATTATAACACAACAGTATATATGCATATAAATGCAGCTGAAGCTTTCCAAATTCTCCTGCTCACAAAATGTTCAGAACAAACTCAGTCTTCGGGTAGAACATTTTTTCCAGGGTAACCCAGAATGGAGAGGAGATGAAAAGACCTCAAGGCATCACCTTAGAAAAGCTACCAACTCAAGAAATTTTTTTGGACAGCTTCCATTCCAATGTTATTCACAATGGGTGAAAAATGTCCTCACTTGTGAAAGCTGCACAGTGGATGAATACATCAGACAACACTGTCTATTTCATAAAAATAGCTTCCCAATAAAAATCCAGACAGGTACTTTTACTCAACACTTCCTTCTCCTGTAGAAGACTACAGAATGTAAAGAATGACTGAATGTATATTCCCTGAATAGTAAAAACACTTTTCCCTACTTTCATGCACCAAAGCATCAAAGTTAAAGAACCACCATTAGTTATAGTTCAAATCTTCTGTTTCTTCAAAGAAGAAACTAACTAATAATTTGCTAACTACAGAACTAACTATACATGCAAATGAGGCACATAATTAATTTTTACTTAATAGCGTTAGGAGAAAATAGATACCAATATATGGTATATTGAAATTAAGTGTGTGACATAACATTTCATAACAAAATTTTGTGCATTACAACTTTTTGACTGGGAGCTCTTTGAATTTTTTCTATACTTATTGTAAACCATACATAAAATCTATATTGAAAACTGGCTCTTGAGTTTGCAAAGTCAAGCACTTGAAAGTTAGCAAAATGCCTTTTTATGTGTGCCCTTGCAACTGCAATTCTATCTCTTTTTCATCATGCACAGTAAAGAGAATTTAGTGGGTAAGAGGAGTTGGAGGGAAGTCTATAATAATGTCGTCAGGACTATGTATCAATGAAAATGCAGGAAGGGGCAAATTTTTAAGCCAATATTTCATCACTCCATAGATGGGAAGAATGATAGACCCTCTGTTCAAGATTTTGTCCAAAGAAATAGAAAGAACTTAGTATTTGGAGGTTTTCTTTTTAATTAGGACTGTTCCATCAACCATATAGGATTGTGCGTGGTCACAGCCTGTATCATCTGAGCATACTAAAGCTATCTTTTTCTCCTTTTTTTCTTTCTTGAGACACATAAAACAGAGAAGGGAAATTATTCTTTGTAAAAGCTATTAATAGCACATTCTGAGCTAAGTGGAATTTCATGAGACAAAGAAAAGCCATCTTGGCATCCCTAGCATTCTTCTCTAAAATATTAAAGACCTATGGAAACAAAAATGGCATGGAGATTTCAATCAAAATTAAAAAGGTGCTCACAAATTTATTTAATGAACAACATGAGATAAGCTAAGTACAGGGAATGCCACAAGAATTCCTTAAATTGCTTAAGGAAAGAGGCCTAAGGAATGGCTTAAGAAATGCCTAGCTGTGGATTGTCCTCCAAGTCATAGAGATAAGACAGGGATCCCATACCAAAACAATCTTATTTGTATGCAATACCTTTCCATCCATTTTGTGTCCTTATTGCTGTATTCTTTCTTATAACGTATGTAAAAGACCACAAAAAATTAATAAATTGACCAAAGAAGTGATTCTTTAGCAAAGGTAATGAAGTTGAGAAGCCTATATCAGTCATATTTTTTCATAACATCAATAACTTTGTTTTGGTAGTGAAAACTTAATACAAATATTACAATGCAGAAACAGAAGAGCCCATATAACCAGAAACAAACATCTGCCAATGCATTTTTCCCCTTATGCCCTCTGAGAATGAGGCTGAGGTTGGAAATGAATCTTTTAAACAGATGGAAGAACACTATTTCCTGGAATTTCAAAATTCATACAGTGTTTTTGCCATGTACTATCATTCACATGTGGCTTGTGAAAACAAATGACAGAGTGCATTGCCACTTGTTCATTTACATTCAATGAAACCACATCTTGGAAAATGCTTCTGTTCTAACACTACTATCTTGCACCAGTGATACTTGAAAATACTTTACAAATGTTAACAAAGACAGGTTCACAACTTTCTGACAGCTGGAGAATCGTGTAATTTATTTTCGAATGAGTTAGGGAAACTGGACGAAAAGGTGTTACGGGCCTTTCTGCAATAGGGCTCCTGTATGCATGTGCACTCAACAGTAGGTAGGTGTAGATTTGGGTGTTTATGCTAGGTAACTAAGCTTCTGGAGGGATGAGGAACTATTTCAAAAGTCTGAGAAATATTAAGGTGACTCAAGCCCATTTCAAAGGACCTGCAGTAGGGAAGCATAAATTAGGAAACAGGCCCATGTTTCAGTCTTACAGATGGCTATTTGACTTGGGCTTGGGACAAAAGGCAAAATTTAAGTGTTTTGTGAGCAGTCTGGAAAACAGATATTTAATGATAACTATATGGATTCAATTACCTTTAGTGAAGGTTACATATTGGAAGGCAATTTTTCAAATCATGAAATGTTAAATTCCTGCTTATGAAACTTTGGCCCTACCTAAAATTTTATGTCAAGACTCAAGAGCTTTAAATTGTTCCCTTAGCTTTACTTTAAGCACTGCAGTATGTAAAGTATTAGTCTAAACATGCTCCCAAGTCTGTAATGGAGCAAACTAGAATTCCAGATTCTCAGGCCTGTCCTTCAGCAAACAAGATTAGCTCATTTTATTAATGAACATCACCGAGTAAACTTCAATGATTCAAAAGTTTCAAATGTCTTTGATAATCAGAGACTCCAAAACTTTTTAATTCTTTCATACTTTTACTGCATTGTGTTTAATCAGAACTGTATTCATGATAATTCTTGTGCTTAGGACATTTCATTATAAAGACAGAAACATTTTGAAAACTCATTTCATACAACGTCATTTGAAATATAACTTTGTATTCCTTGTTTTCTCATTGCTCTTAATGATGTCACAAGGAGATTTTTAGTGGTAAAGTGAAGATCTAGACAATCAGTCTTAAAAATTGTAATTGAAACTAAAAGGCTTTGGAAACCTTTCACATGTAAATTGTACTTTCTCCTTGTTTTAAATAATCTGAAAGGTAGGACTAGAAAAATAGGTAAAGGAAAAATACTTTAGAGCATGGCACATGTTCCTGTAAATGACAAAGTTCTTAATCTTTAGCATAGTTTTAAGACTAAACAGACAAAATCTAGCATATTTTAGCAATACAGTGAAAATAGCCCTTTCTTCACTTTTTCTGAAATTAAGTAATTCAGTATGGGATGCTGAGCTTTCAACTACAAAGGCAACACCAGACTGAATGTATCAAGACGGACTTCCTCTCTAAGTGCTGTTCTCCAGAGCATCTGTTGTTTTCCCATGAGAGTGACTAACTTGAGTGACTGGGTCAACCTTTGAAAGTACTGAGGGAAGAAAGATATTTTAAGGCTCCCAGAAGCATCTGACACACTGAGGCTGCTCAGGAGCACAGCACAGAGTCTCTCCAACCACCTTCCTGAAGCTCTGCCTGAATAAGCCACAATTCCTTGGTGTCTGCAGCACACTGCACAACTACAGTGAGGAGTAAGGTACAACAATTCCTGTTAATACTGTGTAAACCTGTATTTGTACACACCTGCTGCTCTGTGAGTAATAAACGAGGGCTGGAACACATTTTCTGGAGTGGTTTGACTCTTTATTCCTCAACGAACGTTCTGGCCCTTCCTTAGAATCCGACCAAGACTAGGATTCATCACAACTAGTGCTCCAACATGGAGCCAAGTATTTTTTGTGTGGAAAAAACAAATATTGTCATCAGGCACAGCAGAAACCTCCTTTCTCTACTTCTCCATTCGGACTTGAGCAGTTTTACACGTTTGCCTAAGAAACAAACACATGTCAACTAGTACACTCTTATGACATTAGTTACAGAAAACAAAACTGGGATAAATAGAAATTTTTTTAAATTAAAAGGAAAAGTTCAAAATAACAGGAAAAACGTTTCAAAATCAGAGCAAATTCTTTTACAAAAAGTGCATAGTCTTAAAAATACCCAAACGTATTTAAATTCAAACTCTTATTTGTCATCAAAAAGCAATAGAAACTGATACATTAGACTCATGTTGGAAAGTATATCAGCAATATTTAAGTATGACAAAACAGTAACTGAAAAGTTCTTTGAGAATAAGTCAATGAATAGACCTGTGATACAGAAGAGTCATGAACTCAGAATACAATTCCTTTAAAGTGAAAGATATGAGTGCGTTCTTATAATAAATGTTTAAAGTAAAAGCGAACAGAACCAAAACAAACGGGGGAAAAAAAACAAACAAAAAAAAACCCCAAAAGTTTAGTCTGAACTGAGGAGAATTTTACTACAGACATTTCTACAGTTAGAAGTTTACAGGAAACACCATAAAATAACAGATGACACATTTCAAAAGACAGTATTCAATTCAGACAGATACTTCCTTATCTAGATAGTTGAGGTAGATTTTTGACCTGCTGATAATGATTGCTTCTGAAAAGGGTTACACAGAATCTCAAAAGATCACCAAAATTTCTTTAAGTTTCTCCTTTTTTTTTTTTTTTCCTTTAGGATTTTTAAGTTAAATATCATGCTGCAGGATCAATAGAAATATACTTTACAATATTAAACTCATAACTTTAATAACTTCTTGCTTAAATAAAATTACTACACATTTAAATGCTAGGAAACAAATTAATACAGTTCTGTATTCATATTTCCTTGAACTGGATAGTTTACAAAATAAAATTGATTGGTACAGCTCACTGGGACAATTGTAATAGTGAATAGCTGATGAAGACATATGAGTTATGTCAAGGCTAAATCCAATTCATTAGTCTTTCCAATGTGCTTCATTATTATTGTCTTCCAAAAGGTTATGCCACTACAATGCACATACCTTAACTTTCTCAATGTTTTTGTAACTCAGAAGAGAAACTCGGTTTATGGTAGAATTGTTTCAATTTAACAAAATATTTCTTTGCAGAAAAAATTTTTATATTAAAAGAAGACTTAAACATAAACCTTATTTTACTTTCTGTAACAGATAATAACTGTAGCAATTCAGACAAGGATATATCCTCTTGAGGTTTTTGCAGTGATCGCAACTCCATAGAGGGACTGCAGCATGGCGGCATAAAAGACTGTAAGACAATTAATTAAATAAATGAAATTTACTTCTATACTACTTATTCTACCTCATTATCCCAAGTGGGAGATAAAACAACCTCCTTCCTTTCTCCATATGAGGAAACTGAAGCATAATAAAGGGTCATGCTCCTCTTTCAACAGTAAGAAAGTAAAAGGAGATGGAGGGATTGGAAAAGAGTCCATCCGGTTTTGGCTTTATCTGACTGCACTTACCTACAAAAAAACCTAGACTTGTTTTTGTTTGGAAAGGAAAATCTATAACAAACTGTGCTTATATTCTAAATATGATAAAGCAAAACAAATTAAAAAGAAATACAAAACTAGTCGTTTTAAAAGTAGATTGAGGTTTAAAATTGCCTTCCAAGTACAAAGGATTTTCATCTTTTAATGTATTTCCCCATAAATTGGGTAAGATTGAACTTCACATTATCCCCACTAAAAAACTCAGGCAGTCTAAATTAATCATGTCTAAAATCTTTTACTTCCTCAAATGTTTATGCTGTGGGTATTTTTTCCTAGGATCTTGAGTGGAGCTATGTGGAGAAGATCAAAATAGAAATGTAAATTATTTCCTTACCTGTAATTTTATCTTCTATATAAGGGTACCTGCTGCTCTGTTAGTGCAGTATTGATGTGTTTTCTGCCTTTGTCCCAAGCTTCAGAGATTCCTCTGGTGATTTTTCCCCACTTGCTTACCAGTTTCCGTTGCTGGCATTTTGAGGTAGTGGATTCACATTTGGCTCCACGAATACTGCCACAGCTGAGGGAATATAAGACAACTAAAAAACAAGTTAGAAAACAGCAGAGCAATATCCAGGCAGGAAAAAAAAAAATATAAAAACAATGAATCAGTCATCAGCTTGAAACCTTTGATCATTTTCCTTTCTTTTTTCATCCATTTAGAATCTCCATATGAAGAAAAGATTTTTCTGTGCTTGGAGAAATTTTAGTCAAAGTAATGGGAGCTGACAGAGTATTGGGTACCATTAAGAGAATATAAAATTATTTTAAGGAAATCTAATTTTAACTTTCTCCAGTATGAGTACCCATCATGCCATCACTCCAATACAGATAAGAAAGAGAAGAAAGGTGGCAGATTTGGACGACTTCAGAAAAATCACTGTCATCTTTTCTCAAGTCTTAATAGAACTGTGAAAAAGGAAGACCCAAGAGATTTTTCCTTAGAGACTGTAATAGATAAACAATGAGAAGGATTTCTCATTGCCGAGGAAAATACACATAAAGTATGTTTCACTAAGAAGTAGTCAAGATTATGGTTGCTTCTCAACTAACAGTTATAGTGATCTTCATCAAAGGCAAAAAGAACAACCACTACAGTCACTTTAATAAGTAAATGTTTTCCTGCTTGAGCATTATGGAGATGTCCAGGTGAAAGTTAGAAGGCCTTACAACTCCTCTGTACTGGGGATCATCTGGACACTGTTTTTGAACTCCATAGTACACAGAGAAGAAGTATCCTATCAAAGGAGAAAATGAATTCTAAAAGTTTAAATAAGAATCTGATGTGGTATTCAATTTAGCTTGTCTTTCCTAAAGAACCTGCCCAGTTTCTTCATACCTGCATCTTCTCATTATCTTCTAATATGTGACACAAGACAAGTATGAATGAACTGAAGTAGCTAACTGCAATTAGATGCTGGCATTCTAAAATCTCAAGTAATGAAGGAAAGAACAAAAGGCTCTGAAGAGGTCATTGCCTTCAAATATCAGGAATGTTCAGTACCAATTATGTGCTTTAAGGTCAAGGGAAAGAAAAACAATTCTGGTAATTTCTTGAATAACCTCCAAGAAGAAATTGGCTTCCCAAGTAATAAGCTTCAAATTTGCCAAGGTGCATTCTAGAACAAGGTCTCCTGTTGCTTTTTTTGTACTTTAAGTATAATGAAAAATAATTATTAGCAAGTGGAATTGGAATGATGTTTTGAAGATGAGAAATTTGCATTTTCCAAGGTCGCTCTGAAAAGATGACAAGGAGGCAGGATAGAGGAATCTCCAGATTCTAGAAGAGGAACTAATCCAATTTTGCAGTGTATTTGACTGAATTAGAGATGGCAGGAGCAGAGATAAAGTCGTTTGGTCTTCCTTTGGCAGGAACATGTTCCTAAGTCACAAAGATGGAATTCAGGATGAAGAAACAAGTTCTTCTGGCTGCCATCAGTAATATAGCTTCTGGTGTTCTTGAACCTGAAGAGACAAACTGTTTTGGACCTCTTAAAATATACAATGCCATTAAAATTCTCAGATCTTCTATTATTACTGAGTTTGTAGATACATGTTGGCTAGACATAATCCGCTGTTTCCTTGAGTTCATATCATTCCTCATATACTGGAGACACACTTCTGTTCAGTCTTGCCAATATAATTCTACATGTTGCATCAAAAGAATAAGCCATGATAAAATGGATATTTTGTAGCTTTATCCAGAATCTACACTTCAGAGCTCTATGACATTTATCACTGCAGATATGGAAGGGATTGAATGAGAGTCAGAACTGTAAGATCTGAGAAGGAATCATTGGTGTATACTAACAAAGCAGTAGAAGAAAACTCAGAGTCCATTTTATAGAACACAGAAAGTCCTTTGAAGTCTGTTCTCCACAGCAATAGTATCTTTCCTGAAATTTGACCTGGTGTTCACTGAGGTGGAAGGAGTAGTAAACTCCAAGCCATGAAAAAAAAAAAAAAAAATTTACCGATTTTTATCATATATAAATTAATTCTATGTTGGTCATCTTTATTTATTTAGTTATAGACATCATTCTTCCACTTATTGCTGCCTGAAATTTTTCTTAATTTTGGTGAGTTTTCAGATAGAACAGGACTATCTTCATTATTCTTATTTAGAAATATGTAAGATTTACAATCATGCTCATTTTGCTCTGCAAGGGAATAATATTTAAATAATCTGATTTCAGCTTGTTTGAGAGTTGTTCACTCCTCCCACTGTGTATGCTCAGAGTGACTCTCCACTTCATACTGATTATTACCCATTTCCTTCCCTGTTAGAAGGCAGAAAAGCAGAGCTGTGACAGGGCAGGGGTTTTGATATTTTCTATAATCAGTCCTGAGTTAGGAAATACCTCAAGGAAACTATGCTATTTTGGAGAACTGAAGGTATTACATTTTGAACAATTGGGGGCCACTTTTGCACTCCCTCATTTCAGTTTACAACTAAGCAGCGATGCAGAGTTTCTGAAGCCTATGCCAAATACCCAGGGAAAAAGGCAAGAGTTCTGCCTCCAGCTATTTAGGTAGCAGATAACGTGAGGGTTCAGAACACCTTTTTCCCTCTAAGGTGAAATGTATCATTTCTGACTTGCAGAAATGATACAAAGAAGCCCCTACAGACTACAAAGGCGGGTGAGACAAGGAAGAAGTGCTAGTTTTAGAGCATGCCAGCATGACTTACACGATGCTGGCATAGGAATATCATCTTTCTGTATGGTAATTCCTGAGGTAGTAAAAACTGACAATTTTCCGAGAAAATTTAAAAGGACTACTAGATATTCAAAGAGCCCTTCTTGCACAGCTGTGAACGTCAAAGAGACTGACAGAATGAAGCTGCAAATGAGCAGAAACATCTTTGATTTTGGTGTCAGGATGCTGGAAAAGTAGAACTTCACAGAAAAGTGCAGAAAACCAGTCATTAACAAACAACCTCAAGAACTCATTTTTATTTTCCGTCAGAGGCACAAAATCATTCTTCAGACATGAAGTCAGTGTTTCAAACATACCAGCAAAGGACAAGGGGGAAAAAAAGAATAAGAAAAATACATCACAAGTTGAATCTTTTGGGACAAAGGCAGAAAACCTCCTGGCTGGATTGATGAATTGTACAACTCACACATGGAAGTAATATTTGCAAAAATTAATGATTATTAATTAAACACATGCAATTGAAATCTATTTGCATTTTTCTTTGAAAATCGCAGAAATATTTTCCCATGATTTCAGAGTAATTCTGTCAATGTTAAGGTTCTGTAGATTATAAAATGATGCTTTACAATGGATCCTAGCTGCAATCTTACCTTAGGGCAAACTATTCCATGATAAAAATGTATAAACTAGAGCATATATTACTAAAACTGTGAATATGATGATGAGATTGCAAAAGATTTCATTTCTCATGATTTTTCAGTGTGTCTACTCAAAAAAAAATTTGCATTACCCCTCCTGAGTAGTTAGAGATGAGACTGTGTATTCACAGGTAGATTAGCAAGGCAATGTATTGTCAGGCTCCCTCTTTTCAGAAGAACTGTACCTATGAATATTGCCTTTAACCCATTCTCTCTTTTGATGTTCCTCACTTTTTATTCTTAATTTCAGTATTCATAGGACTCAAAGTCAGAACAGAACTAAATAAAATCTGAGACTAAAAAAATCTTGGGAGTTGAATGTTTGAATTATCCTCATCCACCCAACAAGTTTTACTGACCTTTCGGTTTCTGACTTTGCTTATAACATTTCACATCACAACATTTGTTCCTATAATTCTTTATGCCATAACTAGTCCTTTGTGGGCATTTTAGAGTATATTTTCTTTTAAGGACAGGACCATGACTTGTCTAGATTTCTGTGAGTGAAAAAATGAACATCATCAAGCTGTAGGCCTAGACTCCTGTCAAATATAGACTTGCAACTTTTCATAGGATAAAACTAGGCATACCAACATTAAAGAAGCAAATATGGTATATAAAGGCTATTTTTAGGAAAATCAGTGAATTGCATAACCCTGAATACTGATGACTTCTCATAACATGTGTTGGTTGGCATGCTAACTATTTTCATCAAAAGATTAGTGTTTAGGTTCCCTAAAAAAATATGAAGCTTCAAAATGAAAGAACTGTGATGCTAGATCAAAACAATAATTAATGACTAATACAAAATCTAGCTTGACCCTAGAAAATGTTCTCATTTTTCCACTACTAGCTCATTAGCCCCCTAAAACTTGTATGTATTCTTAGAAAAGGTGTACATACAACTTACTGCTGTTTTAATGACAGATTAGATACAGTGGGTCTCTGAGTTAGCAATGAGAAACACCCTGCAACAGCTGCAAATTTCTCCTAGTGACAGATTAGCTAAAGGCATGGAAAGAGATACCATACCATGGAAAGAGATACATAAAGAGGCTGTCACAAATGCAATCACTCTTTTCCACGGGTAATATTTTGCTACAGTCTGTACACTCATATTGTAATCACATAATTTTCAGGAACCACAAGGTATTGCTGGTCACTATATATATGTGCATTATTCCTATAAATATTCACCTGAAATTAGGCAGGAGGTGAGGAGTCTATAGACAGAGGCTCTGAAGCAAGACAGGGAAACAGAGTAGTTTTACAATGTGGTGGTTTCTTCACTGATACATACATCCCCTTAAATAATATTAGGGAAAGCACTGCCTGTACCTAACACATGTCAGATCATCGATTCATCCTATACGTATTTCACATTTCACAGCAGTCAAAATAAAAGGCAAATTGTTTCATGGATATAAATTAGTAGCAGTTTTACATTGTAAAACATGCCATGTAAAAATATGTTGCCTTATTAGCACTAACTGACCACAGCTACCATACATCCAACCCACCAGAAACACCCTGGAATAACTTATACATGACATTTATATGAAGAATCTCTTTTTTTTCCAAATACATATCATTACAACTGCTGTTTCTGAAAAGCCTGGAGGAGGAAGAAGAATAGACATGAGGGAAGAAGCTACCACAATGGTGATATTTCTTTTCATCTT